AATTGTTTCCATTAATTTTGGTTTTCTTCTTTCTTCTTTGCTCTTGATGAGGAGAGACCCATCATTGCATCTAGATGGCAGCTTGCTAGCTTTTAAGAAGGGAATACAGTCTTTATATTGTTTCCTACACAAAATTCTCAGGTCATTGAAGAGAATTTTCCATGTAAACCTCTCCATGCCCAAATCGCAAGGTAGAAAGGAAAAGTATAATTAATGATGCCTTCAGATTGACAAATTGAAGGCACTAATCACTGTGATTTGCTGTCTAGTGTGCTCTTCTGCAAGTTCATTCAAAGCATTCCTGACAACCAGTTGGTTCGGCAGAAACTGAACTGTATGACCAAGATAGTAGAGAGTCATCTCTTTTGGCAGTCAGGTAAGATTCCACCAAAAACTACTGCCTTCTAAAATTCCAGTCTTGCTTCTTCTCCAGTCACCGTGTATACTTTTTGTTTTTTAATGTCAGTAATGTCCTTGCCAGTTTTTTGTTGGTACTTAAGGCTTTCTTGGGAAACTGGTTTTAAGGGGAAGCTGGAGTCAGTTCAGTATTTCTACTAGTTCTTAAGAGAGCAAAACTATGTGTTCTTTAATATTTAATTAGAACAATCAGCAAGTATGTTATTAATTAGAGAATTTTAAACAACTTTATCTTCAATCACTATTTATTGAATAACCTCAAAAACCAAGGGGGACAGGGCTAGTGACATGCTAGGACCCACTTGTATTGACTCTCAAGAGCTTATTTATATTTCTTCTCAATTGTGTGTTCAGCGATGTCACATTAGTAGTGGACAATTTCTGGAAATACTTACACCATGGAAATTGGTGACACTATCAATCACAGTTGTTTCTGAGAGAGGGGAACGACAGCTTACCAGCATACTGCTGGGAGGGAAGGTAGCATGGAGTAAACTCTTAGACTGATGAAATACTTGTTATTTTGTAACTGCAGTCAAGCATGCAGCCACCAAATGTAAATTACTATTCTCCTATCCCAAAGTTGGTGATGAGGAGATCGGTTTCCCCATAAACTCAAGATTTGCTAGGGCGGAGAAGCTGTGAGAACTATTTTTGGATGTGGGGACTTTTTTTGGAGCTAGGTCTTTTGAAAACTTTTTTATACCAGGTCAGGAAATCCCAGATGAACTCATCTTCTGTATATTGCCTGAGGTTATGAAAAAACAGCAGGACTCCTTAGAAATAGGGAAAGTTGAGAGAGAAGGCTGTTGATGGGAAAATACTCTTGGCCTTGGCACTGGCTAATTATATAACTTTAGACAAGTGAATGGCCTTCTTTAAGTCTCAAGTTTTGTTTTTATGGAAGGAATACTTAAGCTAGATCATGTCACTAGTCTCTTTTGGCTCTGATGTTTTCTGGCCATGAATTTGTGCTTAGAAATTCCACATGTACCTAGGACACAGTGGAGGTAGGACTAATACCTTCAGAGAGCTAGTGAATGCTGTAAAGTAGAAAATACAATATTACTAAGCATCTTAATATGCCATGATCATCTCTGCCTTTAAGAATGCAGAAAAGATAAATGAGATAATAAAGGTAAGGTATTTGGGCACAGTGAAACCATGCACTAGGTAGTTCTAATTAGAGGAAGTATTATCACTGTTAATAAGCATTTTGTTAGTTTCCAGATATCTAAGACTCATCATAATAATATTTTAGATTAGTGAAGATCCCAGAAGAAAGACACAGATGAGAGATAATACCTTACTTTATTTAGTCCACTTGCTTGCAAAGACATGAACAGACTTTCTATAAATCCCATTGTAATATACTAGAGAAGCTCAATACTCAGAGAAATTTTATAGTAAATTTTTTGTTAGGTGAAAAAAATTTTTGACAAAGTGTTTAACTTCCTTGGTTTTATTGGATTCATATGAATTAGTGTTCAAGTATCAGGTTGGCATAAAAAAAAAAAAAACACTAAAGTAATTGTTAGGTACTTTAAACATTTACCTGTGGTAGCATTTTTTTTTTTTTTAAATCAAGTTCCTTGCCTAAAATCTTGTGCTTCTCTGTAGCCTGGAGCAATTCCACCCATCCAGACTACTGCCAGAAAGAGCTCTGGTGGCATAGTGGTTAATGCATTTGGCTGCTAACCAAAAGCTCAGCAGTTTGAACCCACCAGCTGCTCTGCAGAAGAAAGATGAGGCATTCTACTTCTGTAAAGATTTATAACCTTGGAAACCCTCTGAGGCAGTTCTACTCTGTCCTATAGTGTTACTATGAGCTGGAATCTACTCAATGGCAGTGAGTTTGGTTTTGAATTAAGCTGCTTCCAGAGCTCGGGCTATGAGTGCAGACAGAGGAGACGGGCAGTTCAGGAAGTGATGACATATCTTATAACAGACCATAAGCTGTCTACATTTGTTTTCTCAGAGTGTAGAGATGTGCTGCTACCATTGCTGATAGACCAGCTCAGTGGCCAGTTAGATGACAACTGCGCTAAGCCTGACCATGAGGGAAGCTCGCAGCTTCTGAGCAGCATCCTAGAAGTCCTGGACAGGAAAGATGTGGTGAGTCAGATCATTGCTAATGGAGACCATTAACACAGACTGATCCCTTGTTAAGGATAAGAGTGACTCCATGGCCTTCCTTGCCTCAGGGCTTGACTCAAGGCAGTGTAGAACCTGGATATTTCTCCAGGCTCTGTCCATGTTAGAGGTAATTAGAGAAGCTTCTTTTTGCTAGGACTTCTTCTACAAGCAGGGAGCTCTGGTGGCACGGTGCCTAAGATATTTGACTGCTAACCAGAAGGTTGGCAATTCAAACCCACAAGCCACTTCATGGAAGGAACACTGGACTATCTACTTCTGTGAAGATATATTGCCTTGGAAACCCAATGACTGTCACTATGAGTCAGAATCGACTCGATGGCAGTGAGTTTTTTTTCTCTCTACAAGCCCAGGTCCAGGAGACATCTGTTTAATGCTCGGAACTGCTATGAGCTGGTTTTCCTGGCTTGCCCAGTTTGTCCATTATTGAGCCCTTGTTGTTGTTGTTGTTAAGTGCCGTCGAGTCGTTTCCAACTCATAGAGACCCCATGCACAGCAGAACGAAACACTGCCCTATCCCGCGCCAGCCCCACAATCCCTGCTATACTTGAGCTCATCATTGCAGCCACTGTATCAATCCATCTCGTCGAAGGCCTCCCCCTCTTT